AGGCCCACTTCCACTCTCTGTATGTACAAGAGGAATTGAACACCAAATGAATTGAACTGGATGGGGATTTGTTCCCTCACCAGATGCCAGTAACTTGCACTGAAGCAAAATACTGGATCAATCAACTTAAACCAAGAAAAGTACCAGGTAATGATTTTATGACAGCTGCAATCATCTGTAACAATTTGCAATGGCAGATTCCAGTCATAGCTTCCTTCTTCTCTGCTATAGATTGTAGTTCAATTGCCTCAAAGGAACAGCAATAATTGTCTCCATTAATTAAAAGGGGACCTACTAATTATCATCCACAAGGGCTCATGTATTTGGAAACAGTGCACTGCACACATCTTTGTTCCCTGTTTGTGATAATCCTGTTTTCTCACCATTGTGGTTTCCTAGACAAAGAGGTTAACTCTTACGTAAATTTAATCACCATAATAAAATATTTATCAAACAATCCTGAAGAAAGAAGAAAGAACAAAACAACAACAAGAAAAACTTTGAAGCAACCCAGTAAGGACTGAGGGTGTCCAGGTGACTACAGATTGTTGGGAACTGGCTGGGATAGATAAGATAAGAATATAAGACTCACCTCATTTCTAATCTAGTTATTCCACTTTTGACCCAGAAAGAGGGCATATAGTGTAGTGTTCTGGCCTCAAGGTGAAGATAGCAAAAGCAGGAATTTGGGTAGGAGCCCCATTACAGAGTCTTTATAATGAATAGCCATCCGATAAAGTATGAAAGGCATGGTAGACTGAAGTGATAAACAAGCAGGCTCTTCCCAGCAGTACAGGGGAACAGATCCTACAGAACTTGTTCAATACAATCCCGCATTGTATTCAATTGTGATTTGTAGAAGACAATCATTGTGAAATATGTGATTTGCCACAGGGCATATATGAAGTAATCAACCCTCTATTGTTCATTCTTCACATTAAGTTGGTTGCCTTCTGCCCTTCCTTTACTTCATTTACGTAGCATTTGAATTTAGATGCAGCTATTAACTTCTCCTTGGGGCTAGTTGCTGGAGGATATATTAAGGGAAAACTGCTGACCTCCCCTAAGCCCTCCTAGCAAAGCAATATTTATTAGGTCTTCATTCCAAACCAGCTGAAGTGAACAAACTTAATGGGTTTTGGATCAATGCCTTAAATAGGATTTATTCTTTACTGATATCATACTGCTTGGCTTATGAAAGGAAAGTGGAGAGGAAAGACCCTGGAAATGATAAATGAATGTGGGAACAATGAATGACCAGCCAATTGAAATGCTAGCTTTATAGGCAACACAATTGATTGCTTGAGAGCAGCTCTGGGTATTCAGGGGCACGTATGTTTCCTGTCCCAGCATCATTCAGGTGTTCTATTTCTAATGAAGGAAGACCAACAGGTGCAATTAAGTGTAAGGAGGCATAGCTTGGAACAGGTGCAGGAATTCTTGCATCGAGATGGCGCCTTCTGTGTCAGGCAGGCTGCTCGTAAAAACCATTTCTTGGCAACTCAGCCCAAGCAGTGGTTCAGCCAACTCTTCCATGGGCTCTGTGCCATCCTAACAGATTGGTATGAGCTGAAGCAGTCAAGTTCAGTAATCTGGGCATGCATTAAGTCAGGTTGCAGAGGCACAAGCTCAGCACCTGGGGACACGAAAAAAGAACTCGCTAGTTCAGAGATTATATATGATTCTCTCTCAAATTAAAAAAAAAGGGGGGGGGCACATTAACCCAAGCATTTTCAAGGCTGAGAACTAATAACAAATGCAATCCACTCTGCAAATTAACTCCCCTGATTGCAAACACCAATCAGATTAGGCTTTGGAAAAGCACTGGGAAACATTTTAACAGATCCAATTGAAATCCTTCTCCCTTGCCCTGAAATTTCTCAGATGCTACTGCTATGAAGAAGATCTGAATATTCTTGATGAACCTGGTCAGAGCAAAAGCAGCCCCAGCTCATGTTGCCCAGTTGGATGACTCCAGATACTCTAGAGCAGGGTTCCTCAACCTCAGTAACTTTAAGATGGGTGGACTTCAACTCCCAGAATTCTCCAGCCCGCCATGCTCGCTTGGGGACTCTTGGGGTTTTAGTCCCCCCCCTTTAAAGTTAATGAGGGTGATGCAGCCCTCCTTTCAACAATGC